CAACATAAACTATGGAACACTGTTGAGAAAAAGAAAAAGACTTAAATAAATTTTCCAACATTATCTTTCATGGATTGAAGAACAGCAAAGATGTCATATGTAGAAAATCAAAGCACTAAGAATAGCCAAGATATTCTTGAAAAAGAATGAAGTGGGAGGAGGACTTTATTGAATATCAAGACTCACTGTAAAGTGAAAAGAATTTCAGAAGCAAGGAAGTGGCATAAAGAAAGACAACAGACCAGCAGAATAGAACAGAATGGACACCTAATATCTGACGCAGAGGATGCTGATTCAGTGGGGGAAGGACAGTACTTTCAATAAATGGTGCTGAGTCCATTAGATCAGCGGTCACCAACCGCTGGTCTGCAAACCACTAGTGGTCCGTGCGGTCCGAAAGGTTGGCGAACACTGCCTTAGATGGCACCACTGGGGAAAATGAAACATGGTTCCCACCTCATAATAATGTACTGTTGATCTTGTTAGGGTTGACAGCATGGTGGTTATGTTTTTAAAATATGGCCTTATATCTGAGATTTCCATTTAAGTAAGCAAGAAAACTGGTAGAGTAGACTAGATAAAACAAAATTGGTAAATTTTTAATAATTGTTGAGGGCTGAGTCTTGTAGGGGCTTATTGTTCTTTCTCTCTACCTTTGTATGTGTTTGGAAGTTTCCATTGTATAAAGTTTTAAATCAATTCCAGATCATTCTGAGGTCTAAATGTGAAAGGCAACCAATAAAGCTTCTAGAAGGTGACATGGAAGAATAGCTTCATTCCCCCAGAGAAGGGAGGGTTTCTGAAATAAGACAAAAACAGCTAACCATACAGGAAGAAATTTGGATTTTTTAGAAATTTAGATTGCATTAAAACTAAAAACTTCTGTTTATCATCAGAAGCCATTAAAAGTGAAAAACAAACTAAGATATGAACAAATATGATCAACCAAGGGCTGGATTTTAAAATATATGAAAACCCAAACAAAAAGATAAGGTAATTAACCCAGCAGAAAAATTGTAGATTTGATTAAAGACTTCCCAAAAGAAAGTATCTGAATCCTAAACAAATGTTTAGAACAGTACTTAATCTCATTAGTAATCAAGGAAATGCAAATTAAACCACAGTGAATACCACTACATACTGACCAGAAAGGCTAAAGTTAGAGAGTCTGAAAAGTGAGATGAGCAGCTACTGGGCTCACACACTGCTGGTGGGCGTGAGGCTTGGTAAACAGTTTCATATTATCTAAAGCGGAACAATTTTCCATTCCTATACCTCACAGAGATTCGTGTGTGTGTGTGAATATATACATGTATATATATGTATACACACACACACAGCAACTTCATTCATAACTGGGCAGGGGCAAGGGTGACTACCAGTCATAGGATGGATAAATAAATGGGGGAGTGTTCATATAAGGAATAGTGTATGGCTATAACAACAGTGTGAATGCAGCTCTTATACACAGGTTGAGCCGAAGAAGCCAGATACACAAAAAATGTAGAGTTCTTTGCTAGTTAAAAAAACTAGGAAAACTATAGTTTAGGGACTCATGCCTAGGTGGCAAAACTCGAAAGAAAAGTGATGAAATGACAACCATAAAAGAGAGAGGGTAATGGTTAACTTGTGGGGAAGAGAAGGGTGGCAATGGGTGGGGAGGGGACATGAGAAGGCTTCTGGAATGCTAGCTTTCCCCCCGTTCTTGGTCTTGGTGGTAGTTACACAGGAATTTACTTTGTGAGAATTACATGCATGGGGCCCTTTTCTGTATGTATGTGTATATATGTTATATATATATTGCAATAATATGTTTTTAAAACCAGCCCATAATACTGGTTCCTATCTTATATTTTAGCAAAGTGTTAACCTTTTTTAGAACTAAACAGCCTAAAAATGTAAGGCACTTCGTCAGAATTCATAGGTTGTGTTTCTGCTCCCTGTGTTTGGGTTGGTAGCGGTTGGGAGAGGAGCAGTGGCTGAGTCACCTCCCTCAGGAAGGGCTTGGGCGCTCAGAGGCCACGCTGGGGAGGGCACTGTCAGAGGCCACGCTGGGGAGGGCACTGTCAGAGGCCACGCTGGGGAGGGCACTGTCAGAGGCCACGCTGGGGGGGGCACTGTCAGAGGCCACGCTGGGGAGGGCACTGTCAGAGGCCATGCTGGGGAGGGCATTTGAGATGTGCAGGCCGTGGCCCACGGTGCAGAGGGAGATGGTGGGGAGCTGCTTCCTGAGAATTAGAAAGGTGGAGGTGATCAGTGAGCCGATTCTACCAGGGGATTTTGAAAGACCAGTTTAACTCATGCCCCTCCCATTTACAGGAATGGAAAACTGGGAAGAGGAAGGCCGAGAAAGATGAGCTGGTGGGAGTTATGATATTTTCCACCATGGAACCAGAGGCCCCTGACTTGGACCTCATAGAAATGTGAGAGACACTGCCAGACTTGCCTTCTTCTCAACTGTGTCCGCCTCCTTTGCTCACGGGTCTGGCAGGACAGCCCCAAGCGGGACTCGGTCAGACTCGAGTGTCGGAAATGAGTGGGGCTTGTAGTCAGGAAAGCACATCTCCCAGCAGAGCACCACATGGAGGTCCGCTCCTGTCTCCCCCGCAGTCAGTGACCTCAGCGCACACAGTGGTTGGTCGTTACTCCTGGTGAAGCACGAGGAGGCAGAGTGGCACAGCCGGCTCACACCCACACAGGCCACACAGCCGCTCACACCCGCACAGGCCACACAGCCGGCTCACACCCGCACAGGCCACAGAGCCGGCTCACACCCGCACGGGCCACACAGCCGCTCACACCCGCACAGGCCACACAGCCGCTCACACCCGCACAGGCCACACAGCCGCTCACACCCGCACAGGCCACACAGCCGCTCACACCCGCACAGGCCACACAGCCGCTCACACCCGCACAGGACACACAGCCGCTCACACCCGCACAGGCCACACAGCCGGCTCACACCCGCACAGGCCACACAGCCGGCTCACACCCGCACAGGCCACACAGCCGGCTCACACCCGCACAGGCCACACAGCCGGCTCACACCCGCACGGGCCACACAGCCGGCTCACACCCGCACGGGCCACACAGCCGGCTCACACCCGCACGGGCCACACAGCCGGCTCACACCCGCACAGGCCACACAGCCGGCTCACACCCGCACAGGCCACACAGCCGCTCACACCCGCACGGGCCACACAGCCGGCTCACACCCGCACGGGCCACAGAGCCGGCTCACACCCGCACAGGCCACACAGCCGGCTCACACCCGCACGGGCCACACAGCCGCTCACACCCGCACAGGCCACAGAGCCGGCTCACACCCGCACAGGCCACAGAGCCGGCTCACACCCGCACAGGCCACACAGCCGGCTCACACCCGCACAGGCCACACAGCCGCTCACACCCGCACAGGCCACAGAGCCGGCTCACACCCGCACAGGCCACACAGCCGGCTCACACCCGCACAGGCCACACAGCCGGCTCACACCCGCACAGGCCACACAGCCGGCTCACACCCGCACAGGCCACACAGCCGGCTCACCCACAGGCCACACAGCCGGCTCACACCCGCACAGGCCACACAGCCGCTCACACCCGCACAGGCCACACAGCCGCTCACACCCGCACAGGCCACACAGCCGCTCACACCCGCACAGGCCACACAGCCGGCTCACACCCGCACAGGCCACACAGCCGGCTCACACCCGCACAGGCCACACAGCCGGCTCACACCCGCACGGGCCACACAGCCGGCTCACACCCGCACGGGCCACACAGCCGGCTCACACCCGCACGGGCCACACAGCCGGCTCACACCCGCACGGGCCACACAGCCGGCTCACACCCGCACAGGCCACACAGCCGGCTCACACCCGCACGGGCCACACAGCCGCTCACACCCGCACAGGCCACAGAGCCGGCTCACACCCGCACAGGCCACAGAGCCGGCTCACACCCGCACAGGCCACACAGCCGGCTCACACCCGCACAGGCCACACAGCCGCTCACACCCGCACAGGCCACAGAGCCGGCTCACACCCGCACAGGCCACACAGCCGGCTCACACCCGCACAGGCCACACAGCCGGCTCACACCCGCACAGGCCACACAGCCGGCTCACACCCGCACAGGCCACACAGCCGGCTCACACCCGCACAGGCCACACAGCCGGCTCACCCGCACAGGCCACACAGCCGGCTCACACCCGCACGGGCCACACAGCCGGCTCACCCCGCACGGGCCCCACAGCCGGCTCACACCCGCACGGGCCACACAGCCGGCTCACACCCGCACGGGCCACACAGCCGGCTCACACCCGCACGGGCCCCACAGCCGGCTCACACCCGCACGGGCCACACAGCCGCTCACACCCGCACGGGCCACACAGCCGGCTCACACCCGCACGGGCCACACAGCCGGCTCACACCCGCACGGGCCACACAGCCGGCTCACCCGCACGGGCCACACAGCCGGCTCACACCCGCACGGGCCACACAGCCGGCTCACACCTGCACGGGCCACACAGCCGCTCACACCCGCACGGGCCACACAGCCGGCTCACACCCGCACGGGCCACAGCCGAGTCTCTGAGCCGTGCCTCAAAGGAAGTACTCTCTGGCCGGCTTTACCTGTGCTTCATCATGTCATCTTTTCTGTAATGTGGGCTTGGTTGAGAATTTGCAGTAGTTCCTTTTCTATATAAGAACTAATAAAAGGTCTTGAGATTTATTTTTATTTTAAGAAACCTTTTATAAAATCATTGCATATGTGTTACCGAAAACATAGACAAGGAAAAAAAAACACACCACACACACTCTTCCAACTACCCAGAGAGAAAATCAGTGTTAATATGTTGGCCTAAACATGTGTAGGATCTATAGTTTCCTAAACCCTCCTTGGTACATAGGTATCTAAAGGAAAAATTGTTTAAACAAAAATGACCTCACAACATGCATTCCCTTTTATCATCTTTTTTACATTTAAGAGTGTCTTGTGTGCTCGCTCCGGCAGCACATACACTAAACTGGAACAATACAGGGATTAGCATGGCCCCTGCACAAAGATGACACGCAAATTCGTGAAGCGTTCTGTAATTTAAAAAAAAAACTATCCTGTGATGATTTCTTCAGGTTGGTAAATACTTTTTACATCCGTAAAGAACTGATATGTTCAATATCACCTTAGAGCAGTGATTTTCCATATTTTTCATCTCATGCACATAAACTAATTACTAAAACCTGAGGCACACCAAAAAACATGTTATATTTTTTGTCAAGCTGACAAAAATAAAAAATAGCTATAATTTTGATTCATTCACACCAAGTGGCTATTGTTGTGTTGGCTGTTGTCATTTTTTAATTTGGCAATCTACGGGAAGGAGGTCAGTGCCCCTGACGAAGCCGTCAGGTGCCGCATGTGTTAAACATTCTCGCGGCTCACCTGGTGCCAGTCGCTGCACAGGTGGTCGTGCGTGCAGGGTGTTTTCTGTGACTCACTGTTGGAAGAAGGAACACCTGCCATTAGCAGCCTCTGTTATTCTGTAGGTTCCAAGGTACTGCCCATGATTGAATTTTCCTAAGTAAGATATTCAAGAAATGAGGATTTTATTCACTTCAGAATAGTTTTACTTGACATTCACAAGGAATTGAGGGAAGAAGGAAGCAGAGTAAAATAGAAATGGCACATTTCGAAGTAGTTCTTTACAAGCCTGAATCAAGCCTGTTTGTAAGACTAATGTGCTTAAAGGGTAGTGGCTCTGATGCCAGGACACAGTGCCTGTGGTGACATTCGGTGTGAGTCCTGACCACCGTGATGTTTCTCCGGCACCTGACGCGGGACATTCGGTGGCTGAGCCCAGGAGGCACCTTCTTGTGTTTTTGCCCCACAGAGAACAGAAGTGCGAAGCTGTTGGTAAATTCACCAAGGCCATGGACGACGGCGTGAAGGAGCTGCTGACCGTGGGGCAGGAGCACTGGAAGCGATGCACCGGACGTGAGTGCCCCTCCGGCACTGCCGGGTTCGCAGGGCAGTGCAGGGCAGTGCGTGCCCGCTCTGCGGCCTTTGTCACCCTGGGGCCTCACCCTTTAGGCAGAAGGAGCTCTTCGGTGAACCTCACTTCTCAGCCCAGGTCAACAGCAGACAGTTGGCTCTAACAAAGCCAGTTCAAGAACTCTTAAAAAACACCACGTTTGCTTAAATATTTCCAGTTACTGGGGTTTTGTAATCTATGAAAGATGTATCCTTTCTGCATGTTTAGAGAATGCTTGTAGCTCATTCGTTTAGTTTTCAATCTTCCTCCATTGGCGAGGTGTTGATTTGACTAACACCCGACTTTTTAGGAAAAGCCAATGTGACTGGTGGGAAATATAAGGCAGGTCAGACTAGGAGCACTGCGAGAGGCCAGTGGCACACCCGGTGTGCTTCCTGCCTCTGTTTCCGTGTCCCCCAGGACTACCTGTCCCCGCACTCCCTGTGTGTGCGGACTGTCGTCCTGCTGAGCCACGTGTGCTGTGTTCCCAGAACCACGAGCTCTGGTGTCAGGCAGCCCGGCCTAGACACAGGAGTCCACTGTGGGTCCTGCCACAGCCTCCGCCCTTCCTCCCTCAGGCCCAGAGGCTCAGAGGCCGCACCCACGGCAGTGTAGTGTCCACACAGGGGGTCCGACTGCCTCAGAGGATGAGGAGTCTTCTCCCCTTACATCCATTCTGCCTTATTGCCAGCACAGCCTTCTGAGTCCCAGAGAAATCCGGGCTTCTGAGCTGCAGTTAGGGCTCACCTGTGTTAACTTCGTGAGAACGAGGTCCTGCTAGTCTGTCACTGAAACCTACAAGAATCCTGGTCATCCCCAGCTATTTTTTAAAAAGAAAAATGGCGTGGCTTTGAAGTCTAAAAGTAATACATACCCACTTTCACATTATATCAATACCTTGGTACTCAGCATAGGAAAGAGGTTAAATTATCTGTTATTGGAAGATTTTTTTAAAGGTGGAATTTTTCTTCTAAATAATGGAAAAGCATCTATTTGAAGTTCAATAACAAGTTTAATGAACAAGAAACTGAATGTGGAGTGACTTGAGGGTGAAATATTAAAATAACAAAGCAAGTGAGTAGCAGTTCTGAGGTCTGTGACCCAGACTTGAAAGTGAAGCCTTACATCAGGGATGGGCAAGCGCCACCTGCGGGCCCATCTGGCCGCCCATCTTTGTGATAAGGTGCAGCAGGAACAAGCCGCCCATTTACTTACGTGTGGTTGGGCCTCCTGCATGTTACAGTGCGCAGGGGCGGAGTCGCAGCAGAAGCTGTGGCCCCACATGCCTGGAGGACTCGCTGTCCAGCCACCGAGTTCATATCAACGGATGAGAAAACAGATCCCTCCTGCCTGGTCCTGGGAAGTCCCACTGCCTTTTTCTCCACACCTTGTTGCTTTGAGTTTTGTTTTGCAAATAATTATTCATATATACATAGCAGAGTGGGGAAAGCCATGTAGTTGGAATCAGAAGTGCCACATCCACAGTTTTATTAGCCATGTGACCCTGAGCATGTCAGTTTCCTTATCTGACCCTTATCTTCCTGCCCCATGAAGTGGAGGGGTGTCTGCATCTGGTGGAGGGAGGGGTCGCTGTGATGGAGCGGGTGGCCTGTGTGATAGATAGCACTGCGCACACTAGAATCATCCTCTAACAGCCGCCCGTCCACTCAGATGTCATTCAGTGAATGAGAATGGGCAGTGGTGCTGGTTGTTAATAATAGCATGCACCAGTCATTAAATGATTAATTATAAATTGAAAGAATTTGATGGAAAAAATATTTAAAAACCAGTCATTTTATTATAGCATATAGATTCTTTTGAATCGCTTCAAATTTCTACTATTATAAAAGTAATCACTTTTAGAAAAGAGTTGAGTCTCACTTCAGCTTGCGGGGAGGACTAGTTGACGATGTATTTCTTTTTCTCTTTCAGCACTACCCAAGGAATATCAGAAGATAGGCAAGGCCCTGCAGAGCTTAGCAACAGTGTTCAGTTCCAGTGCTTACCAAGGTAGGGCTTACTTACCTCTGAGCGTTAGTGTCTTATCCAGACTGCCGCCCGCTTCAGGCTCCTGCAGACAAACAGGAGCGCTGCAGTAGCACCTTGGCACCCACTCAGATTGGCTGGTGCTCCACTCAGGACTTGTGCAACTGCACCTTGCGACTTTCGAGAAGAGTGGAGGGTTGTTAAGTGTATTTTCTTGCAGCTTCTTTGCCAGAAAGCTGCGCACTGACTGATAATTCATCTCAGGGACAATTGTCTTCACTGTAATACACTATTGTTCTTATTTTTTAAAGAGTCTTTATCTTCTAAGTAACATTTATGGATGAAATGTTATGTGGCCAGTGAAAGGGGAGGTGGGAATGGATGGGATAGGTGAAAAAATATTGCCCATGAACTGTTCATTGGGAAGCTAGGTGATGGGTAAACAGGGATTCATTCCAGTTTTAAAAAGTCCGAAATTTTCTGTCATAAAATGTTTAAATAAAATGAATGGAAAGACATAACTTACAACCACTGGTAACTGTGATGACTTTCAGGTGAAACAGATCTCAATGATGCAATAACAGAAGCAGGAAAGACTTATGAAGAAATTGCCAGTCTCGTGGCAGAGCAGGTATTAACATAACCACACAATTCCATTTAATATTTTATGCCATCTAATCTACATACTTAATTTAAAATCAGTTTTAAGACAAATGCTCAATTGGTTATCCTCTTCTTTCCTACTCCTATGTATCCTTTTAAATTGTATTTGGTAATAGTGCTTCTTAGATTTAGCTAAAGTGATGGATAACGTTGTCATCAAGAAATCTAAAAGTATACCTTCTAGGGCCGAGGGCTCGGATCTGTCGTTAGCTGTCAGGGATCAGTGCGTACAGGAAGGAGCACTGCTCAAGTCCCCTTTGGACTCTTACTTGCCTCGGTTTCCCCATCTGGAAAGTGGCGACGGAGGCACCAACCTTGGAAGTAGCTCACTCGCGTGGAGCAGCAGCTAATAAGGCGAAGGCTCCTGCTCCACTTCCGGCACAGAGCCCGTCCTTGGCACCGAGAGGGTGTGGGCTGGAGTCTCCAGTAGCCCGTCCCACTTCTCACAGATAACTGACATCACTTCCTCCAAGGACATAGTCATCTAAGTTGTTTCAAATCCCTGAATTAAAAAAAATTTTTTCAGATAACTTTTTAAAACGTGTATGTACACATGTGCCTGTGGACACACACTCATGTCATTAATTACTCTCTGCTACTTGTAAAAAAGATTAATTTTTAGAACTGTGCATGACATAGCTATTAAAAATTGTAATTCAGAAAAATAGAAAATGTTAAAGTTGCCACTTACAATGATTACTAGGCTTTCTCATAGTATTTTTACCTTTTCTGCTAAAATTTGGACATTAAACGATAACATCTTATTTCCTTGTATGTAAACATGTAGTCCTAACATTCTTTTCCTCACGGTGTTGTATTTGGGGCCACCTCAGACCCACTAAAACATTACCTGATGTGTTAGAATTTCCTTTACAGCCTGTGGCAGAGGGTATCGGACTCTGGGAGTTATTTTCTTGTAGGAAATCTAAGCTGAATGCTTAACACTCAATAGCTTGATGTAGTACCTGGAGGATTTGGCTAACATAGTCCTCAGAGAGGCGTTTCTTTTCCTTGGCTGTCTGGATTCCTCTGCCAGTAACAACCAACTTGTGTCTTGTTATAGCCAAAGAAAGACCTCCATTTCCTGATGGAATGTAATCATGAATATAAAGGTTTCCTCGGCTGCTTCCCGGACATTATCGGCGCTCACAAGGTGACTGGGTTGTAGAAGTTCACAGCGGACGCTGTGGGTAAATTGCGAGCTGCAGGACGGGCCCACCTCTCACCCCCCTCAGTCAGGAAGCTTTCTGGGGCCCCTGGAAAGCCTTGGGGCGTTTAACTAGCAAGGTCCCATCACATGTTTGGATATAAGAATAGTTTTTTGTTTCTTTTGTTACTAAGAAAACATTGTTTTGAAGGAACTAAAAATATGAAAAGTATACCTTTATGCATGTAGTTAGTATCATGATGTTTGAATTTC